ACACACACACACAGTTCCATATAGCTCCTCATTGGAAATTTAAGACAACCGGTCTCCGTTCTGTAGCTCCTGACCAAAAAGGTAAGTGTCAGTTTATTTCTCGTCTGCTTCCATTTCCTTTCTCTCCAAGGCAGGTAAAACTGGAAATGTTGAAATCTGGAAAGTGCCTCTGTTTAATTACAGTTGCTTTATGAGGCATGATTGCATAACATAGATAATCTTTTGGCAACCTTTTGAGCATGTGCTGCAAGACTGTGCTGTAAGTGACAAAGGCAAAATGCAACATTGCAAACATGCTGATTAAATCAAACTTCCTATGATGCAAAGCTTTCTTACGCACTGCTGTGTCATACAGTAACTGAGAGTCTCTGTGTGTGTGCTTGTGCATACCAGCTTTGTGGGAATTACCGTAACCATCTACAGCTGTGTATGCAGGGAAAAATGTATTCTTCCCACTCATACATAGTAGTTTGAATGGAGAGAAGCCTGTATGCACAATCAACCATCTCAGCTGCATTTTAAACAGTGCCATGGGTTAATTTAATTCTAATTTAATGATAAACATAGAGAGAGGCTGCCATAAAAAGGAAGATCACTGAAACCATTTTTATCTTGATTTTCAAAGCTTCAGATACACATTCACATTCAATATTTCCAATAGCTGCAAAGGGTTTTTCAGTGCTTTACTGCTTGAAAGTATTGCAAGAGGGAGATTAAACAAGAAAATGCTAACATGTTGATGTTCAGCAGGTAATGTTTACCTTGTTCGTTACCTTAGTCTAGCTTGATAATATGGTAACATTTGCTTATTAGCATTAAACACAAAGCACAGCTAAAGGAATTTCCTTAGTTTTGCAGGTATTTGGTCAAAAACCAAAGTATTGTACAAATTTTTTGATCAGATATTGGCACTAGAGGAAAAATGCAGGTGGACATGCACATCTGTACTAAATGTCATCACAATCCATCTGGTAGATTTCAAGATGGATAGGTGAAAACATTAACCTGCTGGTGGCGTAACATCAGGGGACCACCAAAGTCATTTGGATTCATACCGTTAGCATGTCTAAAAATGAATGGATGCCGCAGAGGGAATATGGATCAAGCTCCAAAAACCCTGGAACCTCCATTCCCATAATACAGTTTGATTGCATGTTTCTTTAGACTCTTCTTGCCTGATTAATGTCTACATTAGACTACAAACAGAATGCCCTACAGGCTTTTTGATTCTGCACATATCACTTAAGCAGTTTTCTCAGACTTGATAAAACTCCTACAGAGTCACAAAAGACTCCAGTGACTGGTAAATTGACTTTGACGGCTTATTTAACATCTTTGTCCTAATGTTTAATTTGCAGGATTACATATCTGACAGTCTCCATGGCTCTCCTGTACTGTGTCGTGTTGGTGCTGCTGTGTGTTTTTGACTCTGCCTCAGCCACTGTTATAGCTGACATGGACTATGGAGGTGTTCCTCTGTGGATTAATCGCCTGCTAGGTGAGCCCAGTGTGCTGAGCCTGCAGGGACGGATGGACCCAATCTGGTTCCGAGCCAACAACCCCCAGGCCTGCCCTCAACAGTGTGACTGCCCCATCCAGTGGCCCACGGCACTTTACTGTGACCACAGAGGCCTGACAGACATCCCTGACAGCCTGCCGGAGAGAACTCAGTACTTGTTTCTCCAGGTAGGAAATACACTGACACGGGCACGTTTGTTGTCTTTACAATGGTCTGCCACTAGCCCACAGTGTTCTTTCATTTCCTGTTCAGATTGTAAACTTCCCACAGTAGCTGACCTCCACAGCACTGTACTGTATATGTCTAATTTTCACTGTAAACTATAAAAGGTCACAGGGAATTTCTTTTATTGTTTTCAGCGCAACAACATCTCGTCCCTGTCTTCCTCTTTACTGGCCAACATTACAGATCTACGCTGGCTCATCCTGGACCACAACCAGCTGCAGAGTGACAAGCTGGACCAGACCGCCCTGCAGAACCAGAGCCAGCTGTGCTACATTTTTGCCAACCACAACCACCTGACATCAGTGCCCAGCGCTCTACCAGCTGGACTCAAGCAGCTGCGACTGGCCCACAACCAAATCAGCAGCATCAGCCCTGGAGCTTTCCAGAACCTGCACAACCTGACGCTGCTGCTGCTGCAGGGAAACAGACTGCAAACCATCACAGAGGGAGACCTCAAAGGTAGTGTAATGTGTCATTTCCTTGATGCTAGGTATACTGCACAATGTGTGCTTTGTGCACATCCTGCAAAAAAAGACACTTGAGAAAAACACTTGAGAAAAACACTTAAAAAATAATTTCCCTTCCTTGGAACAGCAGTACTTTAATATCTTTTTCTGCTTGCTGTGAAGTGTCCATTTTACATAGGCAGCTGTTGAGTTGGTTGGATTCAAAGGGTTGTTTAATTCAACAGTGACTGGATTTCATGTCTTTCAGTAAAAAATGTAATGCATCATAAAATCTCACATATTGTCCATAATTTAATTTGATACTACCAAACTGTGAAACCATTCTACAAACGAAAACTAAAACTAAAACAATATTTAAACACTTAATAATAATAAAGAATAACATTTCTTCAACAATAGCTCAGTAGGCTGTATGGACATTAGTCAGTACGAATATTTCAGTGAAAACAGTGATAAACTCAAACTTTTGCATAGTGACTGCTACTGTAACATGTTACCTGTGTGGAATATCTGATCCTATATGTGTTCACATAACGGTTTATAAAATATTTGCCATGTGATAAACGGAAACAGTCTAATTGCACTAATTAACACTGAATATTACTAGCATTGAACTAGCATGACTTTTGCTTGTATGTGTGTGTGTGTGTGTGTGTGTGTTTCCCTCATCTTGCAGGTCTGGTCAGTCTGAAACAGCTTGACCTCAACGGGAATTTGTTCTCATCCGTCCCCCGGCATTTGCCCCCTTCTGTCCAGCAGCTCTATCTGTCCAATAACACTCTAACTGGGTTGGATGAGGACAGTTTTGTGGGATTTCTCAACCTTAAGTACCTTCGTCTAAGTCACTGTGGTCTGAAGAGCCGCAGTATCCACCCCAAGGTTTTCAACTTCTCCAGCTTGGTGGAATTGGACCTTTCTTATAACAAACTCACTACCGTTCCCACAGTCCCTACCACCCTGCAGTACCTCTACCTGGAGGCCAATAAAATACAAGGTGAGGTGCATATATACACAAATATGCAACATATGCAGTCACCATTCACACTGTGAATGCAGAGGTGTCACTAAAGTCATGTCTTTGAAATGTTAATTTTCCATAAGTGTGCACACTCACATACTTTTACAATTCAACAATGTACTCACTTCTTGTGACAGCAAAGTACAATATTAGTGAGTTATGTGGCTGACCACCTGGAGAGGTCTAACACCTAAACCCTGCTGTGATGGAGAAGATGAAATGTGGAAAATGTGACAGACACTGTAAAGAAACCTGCACAGCCGGCCCTCATTACTGCAGGCGGACGCGGGAGGGGCTGGTTGGTTAGCTCGCAGGCAAGGCAAGTCAGAGATGGAAGAAGAGAGAGAATAAAGAAAGGGGAGGGACTCAGAGACATGGAAAGAGAAAAAGTAAAGAGAGAGGGCAGTGAAGAGAAGCGGGGAGGGAATATTGGGTGGTTGGAAGAGAGAAAATAGGCTAGCAAAGAAGCAAGGAGAGTGGTATGAAAACATCTGTGATGGATTCAGAGGTTAGGCTTCCAGATGAGCCAGAAGCACATGCTGTTCCCCTCTTCATGGTCCCCTCTTTCCTTTCTCTCTCTCTGGCCGTTTTTTTCAACAGAAAAGATTAGTACCACAATGCTGCAGACTTGTAGCCAGGAGCCACATTTTAATTCACATGACCATCCGCCAGCAATGACCTGGTGTGCAGTTTTGGCTCAGTGGAAGTGTGTTCTTGTTTCTCAATCTGTGATGCAGTAGACAGCAGGGCTGTGTACCAATGAGACAGACAGACGGCAAACACTTCCACAAAAACACACACCTCATCGTCTAGCTAGCAGCCTGACAGCTACTGCAGTTCCTGTCTGCCAAAGCCTACAGTCTGGGTTGAGGGAGGCTCTACTACTGAAATGAAGTGAGAAAGCAAAAGAGGGCATTGTGGTTTCCTCATCCTCCATTTGCACCACAGCACCTGCAAGACATTGGATGGGAAACTATGAGAATAAGAGCATTTGCAGATTGCACAGAGCCCCTCCTCTTATGTGATTAAAGCACTTCATCTTAATAATTTACATATGATGAACACATGGTAAATGATGTGAAATCTAAACTGTGTGGGCTGGTTAAGTATATACAATGTTTTGACAAGACAGCAATGAATAGCTCGCTGTCACTGTGGTGAATAATGAGTGTCTAATAATAAAATCTGGTTTGTATACAGTATGTTAAAAGAATCCTGTCTGTTTTCTGTCTGTTCACCACAGGGTTCAACATGACTAGTTTCTGCAGAGACGTGGGACCTCTGTCCTACTCTAGGATGAAGGTATTACGACTGGACGGAAACAAGATGTCCTACCATCAACTGCCCCCTGACTGGGTCTTCTGTCTGCGGGTGCTTGAAAGTATTTACATCTGACTCCAACCTTGCGAACATGCATCAAAAATAGAATTATTGTATTTGACTGGACAACCTCAACCTCTAGTGATTCAAAGAAAAAAACGTGACTCAACTAAGGAGTTGTTTTATTAGCCAACTCGTCATTTGTGATGTCAAACGACTCAGCCTTAAAGCTAGAAACCAGAGACTCTAATTCATTATGTCTTCAATATCTAGATATGCCAGGCTCTGAGGGTAAAACTGACCTTCAAAAGATGCCAAAGCTTGAACTTGTACACTAAACCAGTGTTATTTTATCATAATGCCAAAAGTCCTAATCAAAACATTTCTCATACCACCAGTGCATTCCCATGAGCTTCTCTCTCTCATTCCATCTTTTCCAAGTTCTGCCTCAGCAGGGTTGTACATCTGTGTGTTATTACTGAATAGGAACTGTGACAAACCCTCATTTCTGACTGTAGAGAATAATATGCTATGGTTAAACTGAGCTGTGTTGTGGGGAAGGGGAAACATGTATGAATGGCAAAATTCAGTAGCTTTCCCGAGAGAGAGAATCTGACTCAGTTAGCTGGACAGTGTTAAACAGCCACACCAGTCCACACGTGTGTTTTGATGCAGCTATTGAAAATCAGAGGTCCATGATCCTAAATGTGACATTTGGTTTGTACAAGCAACAGAACAATAAAATGGACATTAACATCATATTGTATACTTGTGTTTTTTAAGTAAGCTACTGCAATACTTAACTAATATCTGAAATATAAGCAATGCAGTGATTCCATTGCACCCTTGATATTATGTCAAACTTAACTGTGTTAATCACACAATTAGGTAAATATTATATAAAAAAAAAATATTTTAGAAGAATTTTCAGGCTCAATTAAGGGTGGAGATTATCTGCTGTATATATTTTCCCATTCTTATTTCTTTTTGGTAGTTTGAAACATCTTCAGGGAGATTTTACTGCCAGACAGTAACTCCTGGAAGCCAATTGCATATAAATACATCATCATCATCATCATCTTCATCCACTTATCCAGGATCGGGTTGCTGGGGTAGCAAGTCCAGCAGAGGACCCCAAACTTCCCTTTCTTCTACTCTGAGTCCCTCGCGGATGTCCGAGCTTCTCCGGTGTCTTCCTTAGGGATACCTAAGGGAGACGCTGGTCACCCTCCTCAGGAAACCCATTTCGGCCGCTTGTACCCACGATATATATATATAAATACATGTAAAACATTAATAAAGGGACAGAATGGACAATAAACCAGTGTATAGTAAGAAGGGATTTATGTGTAAATGTACATATGTCTGTACACATCTGTGTACAGTATGTAGCCAGATTATGTACAGTATAGTATCTTATATGAGCAGTGTCAGAAGAAGCCATTGTGTACAGAATAATATGGTCAGAGTTAAATACAAATAATGAAAGGATTAAAGGATTTGTACGTTGGATGACGTGTTTCCAACATGCAGAACATTTCTGCATGTTTTTTCAAGCCTGTGTTTTGGCATGATCTCACCTCACAGTTTATTCTGTATGAGGAAGAGTCCAAACTGATGAGGAGAATGGGTGGAGTGCTCATACTACACAGAGACACACAGACAAAAGAAAATATTTCGAACAGAATTCCATTCACTTTTTTAATTTTAATTCACTCGCAGCATTTAGTACTGACGCGTGAGTTTAAGTTGAGAAGATAAACCGACAGCAACTGAATTACTTTATTATAATTTTCATATCTAATAATTATAACTTCCATATCTCCTCATTTACTCAGAATCTAATTCTATTTGTCTTAGTATCTGATGCGACCTTATGTGGATCAGACTGTCTGCATACTGCTGACATACTAATAATAATACCATCTACATTTCTTCTAAATGCCACAAACCAAGAGTGACGAACCAGTGAAATAAGGTAGAGTCATTGTGGTCCTGTTTACTCAAAAGGAAGACTGCAATAACCAGGTGTTGCTTTTCTCATAATGACAATACTGCAACACCCTTTTTCCATCATTATATGATAAAGATAACTCTGAGATGGTTTCCTCATAATTACAGAATGCATAAGTCAGAATTATAAGATATGCAATTACAAGAAACATTTCAGTTTTTCAGTGAAGGCAAAATGGGTCCATATAAAATATTTATATCATATCTGACTTTAAAAATTAGAAATATGATGGTTTGATTCCTTTTAGATGGTTGCCATAGCTTTCTAGGTGATACATTTTTAATGTTTAAGACTAAACAAAAAATGTTTAAGTGTCCTGTTTCCTATAACAGTGGTTTTCAATCTTTTTGGCTTATGTGCCATTAAAATAAAGCAATGAATGAATGATTTCTGCACTTTCTCAAATGATTCTTAGAGGTCCAAGGAGGTAGAATTATACAGGATATCACAAAAAATAGGTCTGAAGGAACATACATACATTTGGGGGTCCTATCTACTCAGATTGGAATCACTGCCCTTGAACCTCCTTTTTATATTAACTCATCAATTTGTTCATATATCAGTCTGGAGGTTGGATAAAAGCATTTAACGGAGTACATTTATGAATCACTTTTATGAATCAGTTCCCTGAAACTGACTTTTCCTGTAGCTAAGGACCCCTAAGAACAAGCACTTTTAACTACTACAAAACACTCATTGTTTGTATGTCTGTCTGCGTATGTGTGTGTTCAGTGTACAATTACTAAAGCCACTGTCATATTTTCCAGGTGACACCATGTCTGTTAAATGCTGTGAGTGTGTTTGATGGTCTGATCAGACTTGTGCTATGTCTGGACCCACATTTACCAGCGGCAGTCACTCACACAGAGTTCCTTTGAGGGATGAGCATTAACCATAAAACTCTAACTTGTTCCAATGAAGACCAGCCAGCAGTCTACTGGGTACTTATGAAGTCATGATGGAAAGTTGACTGGTTCCATGTTGCTGCTGAGAGGCTGTAAACACAATACAGGCAGCCCATCTGCTAGATCATGCCAGAATTACTAAACATTTTGGGAAATAGTCTTTGCTGAGCGTTACATTGCAAAGAATGATCACACTCATGCACTAAAGAGTGGTATTGATCTTCTAATCTCTGTCAGCATGAAATCAACCTCAATAGTGGTCAAACGCTACAGAAGAAGATTGATGCTCATCCTCAGCTGCTCTGACAGTTGTCTTGTTATTGTCATCACGCCCTCCTTTATTAATGTGATATTAGCTCTTCTTTTCCTCTCCATTTTTCTTTATTTTACGGCAGTCTGTTCGACCTGTAAATCAGTCACCCTCACACACTTTAACCAGACCTCTGCTGCATTCCTCATCTTTAGAGCCGTGAAGCTCAGTGATCAAATATGGAGCACGGATTTATTAGCAGTAACAATACTGGTATTTAAAATAAAAACACATTTGAAATACAGTACATAAGCTGCATTAGTGAGCGCTCCCTAGTGTCTCTCAACTAAGTGAGAAGACACAGATGTAGGGTTTCAGGAATGGCCAGCTGGCAGAAAGAGGCACGAAAGAGCCAGATGGCACGTGGGAGCACCTGAAAGGCTCCCTGGCACGTTGCAGTGATATGAACCGCTAACTGAAGGCACTTTTGTTGCATAAAGTGCAAAGTCATTGTCCTTAACATTTTTTCCATCAGTACTTCCAGACTCACTGATTTGCTCCACTAAGGGGGTCTGAATGAAACAGAAAAATGCAAAATGGAAAAGGACAACAGCAATGAAAAAAATACTTAAACTGTTAGACATCGGTTTTATATCAAAAAGGCAGCTCTAAAGTTTTTAGTGGAGAAGTTTGGGTTGTAAGAAATAAAGTAATTCATGTAGTTTAGAAGTTATTTCTAATAAAGCGTCTTAGTCAGGGGGATTATATTTGCAGCAAAAGAGAACAAAACTCTGACTGGTGGAAACATTAAAGCCATTCCTCTCCTCTGAACGAAACTCTGCCTTGGAAACCACCAGTCAAAACAATCTGCATCGAAGCTCCCTGTGGTGTCATAACAGCAACACAGAGAACTGAGGAGCTCAGGACCCTCACATACCACATCCCTCTGCCCGCAGACTAAAATCTACTCAGGTTAGATTAGAAAAACTTTTGGACCTTTTGAATCTCTAATTTTATCCACTGCTGTCAGTTGTCTGCATTAGCACTCTTAATATTTCCAGATGGTTCTTTTTTTCTTAGTTTCTTCTGCACTTGTATCTTTTTTTATATATCAAGGCAAGGCATTTAAACAACAAGGCAATCCAAAGAGCTTTACATAAAACATAAAAGGCATCATGACAAAATGTACAAGAAACATAATGCAATATAAAAAAGACATTTAAATACAATTAAAAAGAGTTAAATAGGTCAGTGTGAAAAAAAAATCTAAATCCTCAAATTTGATGTAATGAAAGGCACACATGTAGCAAACCTGCAGTTTTTTGGGAGTCTGTTCCAGATATGTGGTGCATAAAAACTGAAGCTGCCTCTCCATGCTTAGTTTGGATTATGAGGACAGAAAGCTGGCCTGAAAGGTCTGGATGGTTCATAATGATGATCAGATATTGTATTTTGGCCATAAAACTAAGTCTTACAAAGTCTATGCTTTTAAAACCAACAGCAGTATTTTAAAATTCTTTCTTTGACAGACAGTGAGCCAGTGTACAGAACCGAAGGGATGTGATCAAAATGTTGTTCTTAAATCAGCTGCAGCCGTCTGATCAATTTCTTTAGAGAGACCTGTAAAGACACTGTTACAGTTAGTCGAGTCAGCTGAAGATAAGGTTTTCCAAATCCTTCCAAATAAGTCCTTTAATTCTTGATATATTGCCAGGTGATAGTAGGCTGACTTTGTAATAATCTTAACGAGACTATTGAAATTCAGGTCTGAGTCATAATGACACCAAGATTTACAGATTAAAGCTGAGCACTGACTCAACATTGTTCTTCTTTAGCTCCAAAAACAATAAGGCTACTTCAGTTTTATCCTTTTTTAATTGAAGAAAATTCTGGCACATTCAATTGTTTATTTGTTCAATGCCCTTACTCAGCGCTTATGTGGGGTTATAGTCCCCTAGTGATATGGTTGTGTTCATTTGTCTGCATAGTTATTGTAACATATTTAGCTGTTTTCCATCATCTGAGCATGCAAACAGGAGGCCATTTTTATCTGCTCAGATGTATAATTACTTATAGACACAAAGTAGTCCCTGCCCTTTAAGTAGGCTTTAAACCAGTTTACTGTGCAGAAAGTCCCACCCAGTTTAACATTCGGTCTGGTAATATGTTGTGGTTCACTGTGTCAAATGCAACATTGAGATCCAACAATACCACTTGCCCAAAAAGCGTGGGAATAGTGTGATGTTTTTGGGAATAGCTTTGAGAACTCACATGCAAGATGCATCAATGACCTGATTGTTACATAAAATCAGTTTTGAATCTTTAACCCTCAAACAAATGCACTTTTTTACGGGCTGCTGGCTCATTTTGATCAGTATTAACTTGCACATTGCATGTTGTCCATTATGTTGAACCAATTCTACTGTACTCTATAATACACCATCTATACATGCTGGCATGACACCCCTGATCTCCAATGAACATTGTTAGTAATAAGAACAAACAACCTTTTGTTTTCTCAATATATTTTTTATTTATAATCTGAATTATCTTTCTGTCTCAAGAGCACAAAGCTAGTTTCCC